ACTAGCAAATCTAATACAACAATACATTAAAAAGATTACACAGCATTATCAAGTTGGATTTATTACAGGGATGCAGGGATGGTTCAACATCCACAAATCAATCAATGTGATAGACCACATTAATACAATGAAAAATAAAAATCACACGATCATCTCAATAGATGCAAAGAAAGCATTTGACAAGATACAATATCTATTTATGATAAAAACTCGGAATAAAATGCATATAGAAAGAAAGTATTTCAACATAATAATGACCATATATGACAAACAGACAGCTAATATCATTCTTCATGGTGAAAAACTGAATGCTATCCCTCTAAGAATAGGAATCAGACACGGATGTGCACTCTCACTGCTCCTATTTAACATAGTATTGGAAGTCATAGCCAGAGCAATAAGGCAAGAAAAAGAAATCAAAGGGATCCAAATTGGAAGGGAAGAAGTAAAACAGTCGCTATTTGCAGGTGACATGATTTTATATAGAGAAAATCCTAAAGAATCCACCAAAAAACTTTTAGAAGTAATATAATGAATATGGTAAAGTTGCAAGATCCAAAATCCACATACAAAAATCAGTTGAATTTCTATACGCTAACAGCAAAGCAGCAGAAAGAGAAATGAAGAACACAATTCCACTTACAACTCCAACAAAAATGATGAAATATCTAGGAACAAACTTAACCAAAGAGGTGAAAGATCTGTACACTTAAAACTATGAAACATTGCTGAAAAATATTGAAGAAGACACAAAGAAATGGAAAGATATTCTGTGCTCATGGATTGGAAGAATTAACGTAGTTAAGATGTCCATGCTTCCTAAAGAAATGTATAGATTAAATATCATCCCTATCAAAGGTCCAACAATATTCTTCACAGAAATAAAACAAGCAATTCTAAAATTTATATGGAACAACAAAAGCCCCCGAATAGCCAAAGGAATCTGGAGAAAAAAGAACAAAGCTGGAGGTATCACACTCCCTGATTTCAAAATATACTACAAAGCTATAGTAAGCAAAACGGCATGGTAGTGGCACAAAAACAGACACGCAGCTCAGCAAGAAAACAACTAACAACCCAAATAAAAAATGCGCAAAAGGCCTGAACAGACATTTCTCCAAAGAAGATAGACAGATGGCCAACAGGCACATGAAAAGATGTTCAACATCATTAACTCTCAGGAAAATGCAAATCAAAACTACAACAAGATATCACCTCACTCCTGTCAGAATGGCTATAGTTAACAAGACAGGAAACAACAAGTGTTGGAGAGGACGTGGAGAGAAGGGAACTCTCATAGACTGCTGGTGGGAGTGAAAACTGGTGCAACCACTTTGGAAAACAGTCTGGAGATTCCTCAAAAAATTAAGGATAGAGCTACCATACAATCCAGCTATTCCACTGCTGGGTATCTAGCCAAAGAACATGAAAACATGTACACATAAAGATACATGCGCCTCTCTGTTCATTGCAGCATTTTTCACAATAGCCAAGACTTGGAAGCAACCTAAGTGCCCTTCAAGGGACAAATGTTTAAAGAAGATGTGGTATATATACACAACAGAATATTACTCAGCTGTAAGAAATGATGACATCCAGCCATTTGTGACAACATGGATGGACATCGAGGATATTATGCTAAGTGAAATAAGTCAGAGGGATGAGGTCAAATACCATATGATCTCATTCATAAGTAGAAGATAAAAACAACATCAAACCAACACATAGAGACAGAGGTTGAATTGGTGGTTACCAGAGGGGAAGGGGGGAGGGAGGAGGGAAAAAGGTATGATTAGGCACATGTGTGTGGTGATGGATTGTAATTAGGATTTTGGTGGTGAACTTGACGTAATCTATGCAGAAATAGAAGCATAATGATGTACACTTGAAATTTATACAATGTCATAACCAATGTTTCTGCAATAAAAATAGTAAATAAAAATAAAATTAAATAAAAAATTAAAATAAATAAATAAAAATAAATTAAAAAATAAAAGACAGAACATACTCACATAACACGGCACATGAGAACCTGTTACACAGGTTTTATGTAGGAAAGGGGAGCTGTGTCCCTCCCATGACCTCTATCCAATTCCCCCTCAGTGCATCGAAGAAAAGAGCAGACATTCTGCGTGTAGGTCAGTCTGGAACCAACCCCAGGAGTGTGACCCAAACCACTACCTTATGGGGTTAAATCGTATTTCTGAAATCACCCCCAAGTCCACACTGGGTGGATTCATCCCAATTCAGGTACTTGAGACATTATGCGTTCAGGAACTTACATGGGCCCACTTTAAATTCTTGATTACATATGGTCTAGTGTTGGCCAAATTGTTGGTTCAGAGACACAGTTTCTCACCTGAAAATTGGCTCATTGCCTGACTAGATTCAGGTGAGGCTGATCAGGCAGGTGGAGGCCATGTTTTGAGGAAAACACAATGCCAACATGGGAAGTATTTGCTATAATTGATCAACAGTCACTTTGTTAGGAATTAGTCACTAGTGTAGGATGTGGCTCTCACCACCCTACTTCAACCCAACTCATTAAATTGTATGGAAAATAAAGATAGTTTATAGAATAGAAATGCACTATTTACCAGTAATGACAAGTAGACTTATGAGTCATCAAATGAAAGTTGAAAAGAATATTGCCAGTATTCCTGAAGATTCTGTGGTTTTGATCCTGAAGAAAACCATCTAACCTCATCTTATTTATAACCACCATCATGGGTTTGACGGAATTCTTTTCTCTCCCTTATTCATAAAGTTTGTCTTAGGTATACGTTCCTAAATAATACATGATGCTTTCTTTTTAACATTAGGTAAATAGGATAACCCTAAAGATATGGCTTTTGTAATCTTCTTACATTTATCCACTATCATGTTTGAAGATGGATATACATGACCACTTAAATTGTAGTTTATTCATTTTCACTGACATATAACACTTGATTTTCTATGTAGAAAACTGAATTCTCTCTTTTTTGGTGCATGTAGTCTTAAAATGATTTTGACTAATACGAATAACTCTCTTGTCAATGTCCTTGTGCATGGATCCTGGTGCATATGTACACATTTTCTCTAAGGTACGTACTTAAAGATCATAGCTGTGTGCCTCTTACTTTAACTAGATAAGTATAATAATCTACTCTCTAAATTGATGGATGTACTTTGCACTCCTACAAGTAATGAATTAGAATTCCTTGTGCTCACTATTCTCTCCCACACCTGATATTACCATTTTTCTCTTTGTATCTCACCTGAATGTGCTGGAATTTTTGTTTTGTGATTTCACTGAAACTGTGCCACAACATTGTGGTAGGAATGATCATTATACATAAAATACAAGGAAACAGGTGCATTTTGGGTCTGTCAGAGTGGAATTCAAGGTGTCCTATTGGCTTGGACTGTCTTCTAAAATCAGTCCTGTGCATCACTTCACAACTCTACATTGACGACCTCATATTGATACCTTGATGTTGGCCATGAGGGGAATACATACACCAGAGGAAATGAAAAAAGCCTTGGATTAGTGTTATTTTTAACAATGGGCTTTTCAAGAGCAGTAAAACCTTGCTATCGCTCCAAACAAGAATGTCTTGATTCCAAGTGATGATATTTCTGAGGAAACTACACAGGTAGCATCTGATGAAAAGTGAAGGGCTTGTGGTCTCTAAAGAGGGGGTTAGGGCTTCATTCTGCATTTCTCTTTCAGCGAGAATCCTTCTTATGGAAATTTATTGATTCGTTAAAACAGATTGCATGCTCTGAATGAAGAAATGGAGACTCCTTAATACACATCAAGACATGTGGTAATTAGAAATTTTTAAATATATGTAATACATGAAAGTGTACCACAGCATGAGAGTGTAAGAAGGTGTGGACTCAAAACCACCAAGTGGAATATACGCTGATTTCACAGACAGGAGGAAAGTTACAAAACCATCAAGACAATTCAACAAGGTTTATGATGGAAAGTTCCACAGTTTAATGGTAGGAGAGACCAGACATTGTCCCCGCACATGAACAAGGATTCCTCCACCTCTCAATGACCTGCAGACAGTTCACGCAGCGTAAGATCCAGATGCTCTTCCAGAACCACCTGGGCACACAAGATTTATTTTCAATGCTCTACCACTCTGAGCAGTGCATTGTTCTCTCTTGTGTTTACCTCCTGGCTGTATCTTGGGGTCTTCTCGGGCTCTGCTGAGCCTGAAATAGCAGAATCCCAAGGACCAGCAGGATCAAGCCAGCCATGCCCAACCGGATGAGATTCTCCACTGTGTAATCTTGGGGATGTGAGGATAGGAATTGTGGATAAAGAGGTCACAGAGGTCAGGGAAGAGCAAAATCACCCCAGGATCCTTGGATGTCCACCCAGGCACCCACCACCCCTTGAGAGGACATGATCCTCTGCACCAGCCCCATAACTGAGAATTTCTCCTACTCACCACTCTTGGAGTCTGACTTGTTTTGTGATAGGCTGATGGTGTCAGCTGCTTCTGAGGACCAAAAAAAAAGAGGAATGGATGAGAAGTTGTTGTGACTCAAGTTTTTCCCCTGGGCTCTGTGTTCTTATAATTCCCTCTGTTTCTCATGACGTAACGGTTACGTAGTCCCTTCATGAACGCTTTCCCTACTGTAGAAAGATTCTCTCTCTTCTTATTGGATTCTTTCAGTGTCCCTTTGTTTTTTCCTTTTAGACTTTGCTTCTGATTCACAATTGGATGTGCTCCAATTGCTCAGGATTGTTGCAAAAAGTGGTCTCCCAATACAGAAATAATTAAATTCTTGTATGCTCTCTGTTCATTCTGGGATATGGACCATGTCAGCTCACTCTTCCAGATATGAGAGCTTCTATTTATTCAACAACTGAGGCCCCAGGATCCATGGTTGAGAGGTGCGTCATACATATGCGAGAAGAGAGAAAATTCAACCAACACAGTGTAGATTGGACTAATTACAAGAAATAAATTATTTAATAAGGAGGCATGTGTGCTCTACACAGGGTCACAGCGAAGGTCACACTGTGAGATGACATTTAAGATGATTCTTGAATAGGAGAAGGAGCCTGAGAGGAGCCACAAGAAGACCCAGAGGAAGCACATCACAGGCTGCAGGAAGAGCAGGTCCCCAGAGAGATCTCAGTCTGTTCTTCAATAAGAATAAAGTCATGTCTGTGGGATACAGGGAGGGTCCACAGGAGAAGGGGGAGCTGAGATTCGGGGTATGATGCATTCAAGACAGGCCAGAAATGACAGGACAGATGAGGCAGGCTCCATCATTTTATCATCATCATCAACATCCTCATCATCCTCCTCCTCATCATCATCATTCTCTCTCTCTCTAACTTTCACTGTCACTTGAAGAACTCTAGAAACTGCTATAAGATTTCAAGGGAAGAAGACTGCTCATTCAATTTTATGTTTTAAATATTTTGTGGGAAAATGCTAGGTAAGAAAGTGTGTTGCAAGAGTGTATGAATATCCCAGCTTCTTTGAAAATAAAAACACATAATGGTTAATAGCACTCAACAAACACTAAATATATGAAAAGAAAAGAAAAAGAAATAACCTCTACCCTCTCCACATCCAATATCCAGAACCAAGGAATTCCACAGTTCTGGTCTTCAAAGTGTTAAGCAACAAAGAAAATCAGTGGTATTATAAAATTGGGTGCGCACACAAAAATACGTAATCCTACAAATCTATTTGAACATAAAGAAAATAAAAAAAAACAAATTGTAGATCAATTCTAATCATACATTTCCATGTAAAAATTCTAAATAAGCTTATACAGATCAGAAAGCATGAATGAAAAAAAGACATCATTCAGTGTGGTTAATATGCAAATGCTCGCTACTAAAAAGTCTTTTAAATGGATCTCACCATGCTTAAAAGTAAAGAGAAAAAAAGAGAATATGTACAAAAGTCCAGAAAAAATTGTTAATTTCTATTAAAAAAAGTTTTTTCCCAAATAAAACCTAAATGTAACAAATAAAGGACTGACATAGATAGGTCGATAGTGTTATATAAATAAAATCTAGATTTTTGGTATGTTTGACTTCAAATAATTTGGGCTAAAATTGAGGATGTTTTCTTAAAGTGACACTTAGGTGCTTCTTAACATTTTACTTTGTCATCATTATCATATGGTATTTGATGCAAATAAAATGGGTACACAATCTGGAAATAAAGAAGTTAAATTTCAGTTTTCTTGAGGTTGATATGATTCTTATCAGTAAATCAGAGGAGATCGACTGAAAGGCAATTGAAAGGTGGAGAATCTGTAGTAAGCTAATAAAATATAAAATTAATATAAGCAAACCCGTATCACTGTTATCTATACTTAAGTATAAATTAGAAATTATAAAGAAATCAAAGATCTTACTTATAAATTCATAAAGTAGTTGAACAATTCTTAAGCTGTGAGTGTAGACAATTTTATGAATAAACTTTCAAAAGGTGGCTGAAGTCATTAATAAACTTTTAAGTTTATGCCTCCCTTTTAAGCATCTAAGAAAACTTCATATGACTAAGAAATTATTCTCTACAGTGAATGTATAAATTTAATCTAATACCAAGGAAAACAGGAACAGTGTTGCATATTTTTAACTCATAAATCATTATAACTTAAATTTGTAAATGTATATAGGGAAGTATTGCCCCTTTCCCAGAGGCCTGTGGTTCCTGCCAGAATCTCTGCCCAATTCCCCAGCCCTCTGGGACACAAAGCTGTCCTTGAGCATCTGAGGGGGCATCACACGCTCTGACAACTCTCAGATCTTTCCTGTGTGTTCTGTGCTCCCTCTGAGCAAAGGGGCCTCTGTGACTCACCAGCTGTTGATATGAGACTTGAGAGTGAGGGGTTTGGGTGGACTGGACTCCCCACCTCAGTCAAACTCTTCTCCTACGTCTGCCCTGTGGCCCCAAGACCCTACTTCAGCTCAGCTTACACCCTGTAGACCCAGGTGAGGGGGAAGGTTGTGGCCAAGTGTAGGAAGGTCTCTGAAAGGCAGATTCCCTTCTGTATGACGCTCACTCACAGCCCCCCATCACTCCCATCATAGCCCAGAGCTTTCTGGAGGAGAGGGCCCCAAATAGATTGTAGGAACAGAGGGGACAGGGATGGGGCTCCTCACCTGAGACCCGGAGCTCCAGGGGGTCACTGGGGAGTGACAACAAGTAGGGGGAGGTGCTGTGTGAGCTGTAGCACTTGTAGGTTCCCTCATGGTCTGAGGTCACAGGACTGATGGTGAAGTTGGCCTGAAAGGGTGCAGCCATGTCCTGCGGACGAAGGTGCTGGGAAGAATGAAGTGACCACGCATTGGACAGATGGAAGGTATCCAAGCGGATCTCAGAGCAACACTGTAGGGTCACCTTCTCTCCCCCGGACACTGAGGGCCCTGGCTGGAGTGAGAGGGAGGGTTTCTCGTAGATTCCTGGGGGAGAGGAAGGTTGTAATGTGTAGAGAGCTGCCCTCTCCTCACACGTCCTTGAGCCTGAGTTGAGGCACCACCGTCCTCTCTCCAGGGACTCTGTCTGTGACCCCCTCTCAGCTCCTCTCAGTTCCTCAGGGTGGGTCTCTTTTATCTCCTTGTCCCTCACTTCCCCTTTCTCACTGCCTATCCCTAGACCACTGCACCATCTCAGCCTCTGTTCAAGGATCCTCTCCCTGGACCCCATCACCACCAGGGGTGACCATGGGCCCAGCTCCCTGAGCTTACAATGAGGACATGGGGCTCCTCACCCGCAATCAGGATATCCAGGGGGGCGCTGGGGGTCGACCACACATAGGAGAGGTGGTGTCCACTGTAGCATCTGTACTGGCCCCCATGAGTGTGGTTCACATGGCCCAGGGGGAAGTCAGGGTTGTGCTGCCCATGAAGACTCTGTAGGGGTGTGAGCCCCTCATCCTTGCTCAGAGCAAATCTGTCAAAGCCGGCCTCAGAGCGACACTGGAGGGTCAGGCTGTCTCCAGAGAGCACCAAGGAGCCAGGCAGGGCTGAGAGGGAGGGCTCCTTGTACATGCCTGGAGAGAAGGGACAGTGGCATTGAAGGGAACTCACAGCCCACATTGCCCACTGATGCCTGCAGTGAGAGTTCTCACTGGTCCCTCCCCAAACGTCCTGGTCTGTGGTTCAGGCCCCAGAAGGTGAAGTCACCGACCCCCATCACCCACAGGTCTCCGCTGAGCACATAGATTAGGTCAGTAATTTTTGGGTCCCAGGAAAGTGATGGGTCAGGGGGGCCCTCACCTGTGACCTCGAGATGCAGAGGGTCGCTGGGGTGTGACCACACATAGGGGTAGGCACTGTGAGAAGCATAGCATCTGTAGGTCCCCCCATGGGAGGCATTCACGGTGCCCACAGGGAAGACAGCCTGTCCCCTCCCAGGATAGGTCCTCAATTCCATGTGTCTGGGAGTGTCAGCTCCTCCCTCCTTCAGCAGATGGAAAATGTCCAATGTGGACTCTGAGCTACAGGAGAGGGACACGTTCCCTCCTTTTGCCACCACAGGCCCTGGATGGGCTGAGAGCGAGGGTGCATTGAACACTCCTGAGGGAGAAGGAGGGAGCTGTGTTGAAGGGGGGGACCATCAGCCCACATACCCCAGGTGTGGACTGTGAGGGCTGAGGTCCCCTGAGCCCACACTCCATTCCCTTCTGCCCGTGAGGAGCACCCCACAGTGAGAGGGGACCTGGCTCCTCCCCCTACCTGTCACCACCAGGGGCAGGGGGTCACTGCGCTCTGACCAGCCGTTCCTGCTGGTGTTATATGCACACTGAAATATCCCTGCAGTGTGTGAGCTCACAGATTCGATGGAGAAACTGGTCTTGTTGCTGGAGTCCTGTGGGGCCTCTGTATTCACGGGTTTAGAGACCCTCTCTTTATATAGATGATAGACATCAGCCTGCAGAGAACCCTGACACCAGATGGTGACAGGCCTCCCCGTGGTGACCATTGGTCCTGGGTCAGCCCAGATGGAGGGTTTGGGGAGGGATCCTGGAAAGGAATCAGACCTGAAGTGTCAGGGGAGCCCTTCTCCCCTCAGCTTCCCCAACTGTCACTCCAGGCCCCTCCCCGACTGGTCCCATTAGCCCAGACTCTCTGACTTTCACCAAGCTGCCCAGGGGGAATTCCATTGTCTGAAGCAGGAGGTGTGGGGGAGGACTCACCAGCCTGTACACTGTCCCATGGGCCCTGACACAGCCCTGGAAGAGAGTTTCCTGTGAGTACATGCCCCCCACCCACACATAGAAGCTCCAGGCCTGGTCTGGACCCCTGAGCACTGAGGTCAGATCTGGGGCTAGAACACTCTCCCACCCTCAGAAGTTCTCTCTCACTGAGCCTCCTGAGTCTTGGGGTCTCTCAGGGACTAAGACCTGGAGGGGAGGAGATCCTATATTCCTCTTTTCCCCAAGAACTCACCAAGACAGAGAAGGGCAGTCAGAGTAGGTGTCCTGGCCCTGCCTCCCATGGTTGGTCCAGATGACTTAAGAAGACCACAGAGCCCAGCAGAACAGACGGACGTATGGAGTGTGAGAAGGTCCAGGCTGTGTGTGACACGTCACAGGTTCCTCATCTGTGGCCTAACAGGAAGGGGAACAGCCCTTGCCAGGCCCTTACTCTGCTCTCCCTGAGGGATGATTCTGAAGAGACAGAGGGTCTGGGGATCTTCCATAGCAGACCTGAGACTCACCAGACCCCGTATGCTCTGCCTCCAACTCATGCCAAACCCAAATTCAGAGAGTGACACTTGTCCCAGAACATGAGGCTTGGTGAGGGCAGGGGATGACCAGCTCAATTTCTGTTCCAACTTTGACTCTGCCTCTTATAGAGGCTTTGTGACCTGGGGCAACTCACTTCCCTTTGCTGAGCTTCTGTAAATGCTAATTTTCTTCCTCTCCTTCATCTGCTAGGAAGTCAGTCAATATTTATCGAGCAGTTCCCATGTCCAGTCATGGTTCTGGGTGCTGGAGAGTCATTGGTGAAGCTGACAGAGTCTTTCCCTGGACTCATGGGTTCAGATGAATGAAGACAGACAGAACAGATATTTAGCGGCAAACAGTGTAAGTTAGAGTCTTGTTTTAATACAAGTAGGAAGAAAACAGGGGACAATGAAATTCAATAACAGGTAGATGTCTGGCAACCTAGGTCCTGGCTGTGAGGGATCTTTTGGGGAAGGAGTGACCCAAGGCATGAGCACGGTTAGCCCAGAGGTGGCGGTGGGTCATCCTTGCCCAGAAAGATCTGAGCTGTTCTCAGAATTGAGAGCAATCAGAAGAAGATGGGCCTTGTCACACAGGATCTTCAACACCATGCAAATACTTTGGATTTCATCTTGAATGCAATGGGAAGATTTTAAGCAACAGACAGTATGAACAGGTTTCTGTTTTAAAAAGACTACCGCCATGTACAAAATGTAATGCAAGAAGCTCTATTGATGATGAACTCTATTGATAATAAAACTCCAACATCAATCTGGCCCCTGGGTGGTATGTTGATCAGTATTTTAAGTTATGTGATTTTCTCATATAACCCTTACACAAACCTATAACACAAAGTACATTTACAGTTGAGTGGAATGAGACAGGATGGCTTCTAGGTCTGGCAGGTTGGAAAGGAGTGGGCTAGGTCAGACTGGCTGAGGGAGCAGCCTGAGGAAGGCACAGAATTGTTAAGTAGCTCAGTCTGTGTGTGTGTTTGGGAGTGTGTGTGGGTAACCGTGATGAGTTTGGTTGAGGAGGAGAGTAGTGTTTGCTGGGGCTGTGAGTTTAGCTCAGACCTGATCATTCACAGCCCTGAACATCAGGCGGTGCCATTTGTATCTTTTTTGAATATGGAAACTGTTGGAAGGGTTTTGAGCAGGGCAGGATCAGACCAGACAGGATTATCAGAAGGGTCCTTTGGAGGCAGTGAGATGAATGAACTGGAGGAAGGAGTGGGGGCCTGGATTGGAGGACCCGGAAGGAGGCTGGTGTGATGACACAGATGAGATGCCCTGAGACTTGCGATGGATCAGGATATTGTTAAGAAGGACTCGGGCCGGCCCCGTGGCTTGGCGGTTGAGTGCGCGTGCTCCGCTACTGGCAGCCCGAGTTCGCATCCTGGGCGCGCACCAACGTATGGCTTGTTCAGCAGTGCTGAGGTGGCGTCCCACATACAGCAACTAGAAAGATGTGCAACTATGACATACAGCTATCTACTGGGGCTTTGGGGAGAAAAAGGAGGAGGATTGGCAATAGACGTTGGCTCAGGGCTGGTCTTCCTCAGCAAAAAGAGGAGGATTGGCATGGATGTTAGCTCAGGGTTGATCTTCCTCACAAAAAAAAAAAAGACGAAGAAGAAAAAGGACTCAAGGGGCATAGTGGTGGTGATTTGATAATTGGAAGTGAGGGACAAGAGAGTGAGGAAATGAAGTCTGTTCCACTCTCTGCCTTGGTGCCTGGAGGAGCCAGTGGGGCCATCACAGGGAGGAGGACCCTGAGGGAGAAGGAGGCTGGGGAGATGCTTAGGAGACTGATCACCATTTCTCAGAAGAAAGCACAGCCCTCCCTCCTGACCTGGGATTGTGGATTTTCTTCCCCACAAACACTTCCCTTCACTGACTTCTTTGTTTCTGTAAGTCAGCACCATCTTTTTCTTCATCGCCCTCCTTCAAATCTCTGAGTCATTTCTGCCTCCTCTTTGCCCCTTCCTTTCCTGGACAGAAGCTTTCATCTCATACTGTGAATTCTTTCTCCAGCCACTAGGTGAGAGCATGGGTTGAAGGCAAAAAAGATCTTAAAAGATGAACACACACTCAGGGATGTGTAAGACAATTTGTATCATTGATCTCACAGCAAAAGGAGATGATACTAATAAAGAAAAAATATTTGAAGAAATATGTAGCTGGCCATTTCAGAGATTTGTTGCAAGTCACAAAAATACACGTTCAAGATGCTCATCGAATGAAAATAGGATAAGCTTTAAAAACCTTGCCCACTCACATCATAATCATAATCAAATTTTTGAAAACGCAAAAGAAAAAAAAGAGTTGAAAGCATCCAGAGCAACATGCCATGAAACACAGAGGAAAAACTATTTGAATGATTACAGATTTCACATCAGAAACCATCACGGTCTGAAGATGTTAATGTTCTGAGAGACAAGAAGAGCTAATCTTGAACTTGTGGATGTATTGTTCAGCAATGGAAATGAAATAAAGTGATTCTGAGAGGAAAGAACACTGAGAGAATTTGTTGCCAGCAGACCTGCTCTAAAAGAAGTAAGGCATGTTCTTCCGGCAGGAAGGATAACAATTCTAGAGGGAAATTTGGAAATTCAAGAATAAAGGAAGAGTAAAAAATGGCAAATATCTAGGTAAATGTAAGTGTATTTTTATCCTCTTATGTTCTTTAAAGTGTGTTTGGCTGTTGAAAGCAAAACTGTTAACATTGTCTGGTGGGTTTTTAACATGTGCAGATGTAAGACACAGAAAAGCTATAGCATAAAGGGATGGGGTGAAAGGATTTATAGAGTGTTAGGGCTTCTACATTTCTCCTGAAGAGGTAATGTGTTAACTCTATGTGGACCCTGTGAAATTGGGTGTATATATTATACTACCTGCAACAGCCACTTAAGAAACAACATGCAAAGAGTTACAGTTAGAACTCCAATAGATAAATTAAAATGAAATGCAAAAAGTATCCCAAAAAGCCAAAAGAAGGCAGGAAAGGGAAAACAGAAGAAAAAACAACAGAGAGAACAAGCAGAAAACAAACAATAAATGGTGAACCTGAAAAGAATCTTCAATAATTACATTAAATATAATCAGAGCAAGCACAATCAAATGGCAGATATCATAGGATTGGATTAACAGATACAAGTATGACCCAACTCTATGCAGTCTACCAGAGGGTCACTTTAATACAATGATGTGGACAGGCGAAAAGTCAAAGGATGAATACATCATGGAAACATTAATTAAAAGTGCTTAAGTGGCTGCCTAAGTTTCCAAGTTCTGAAGTATAAAATCCGTCTCCCTGGGCTAATGTCGAAGTGTCAGCAGAGGTGGCTGCTTTTGGTGGGTCTGCAGTGAGAATCAGTTTCCCGGCCTTTCCCAGCTCCCAGAGATGCCTGCAGCACTGGGTCCTGATCCATTCCTTCCATCACTGCAGCCTCTTGATTCCATCATCACATTTCCTACCACTGACGCTGACCCTCTTGTTTCTGTCTTACTGACTCTTTATTGTCAGGTGGAGGGTACAGTCCAGGTCCCCGCATGGCTCATTTGACACCCACTGTGTCACTCCTGGGGTCCTAACAGTCTTAGCCCATCAGCTGCCTTCTCTCCACTTTCTGGAGTATTCTCATGTTTGTTGTATACACAAGTTCCAGGAGTTTTCTGTGCCTTATGAGGGTTAGGGAGACAAACCTTTACTTCCTCTTTGTCCAAAACTGGAAGCCTGAAATGCAACTGATCTTTATATATTGATTATGTATCCAGTGACTTTGGATAAGTTCTTTCCAAGTCAGAATAATAGATGTTTATATTATTTTGGATTTTTCATGTACAAAATTTTGTAATCTGTAATATAGTTTTATTCCATCTATTCAGTGATTATCATGCATGTTTTTTTTTGCTTTATTTGTTTGGTTGGTTCTTCCAGAGCCCTGCTGAGTAGAGAAGTTCATAGTGAACATTTTTGTCCCATTCTCAGTCACAGGCGGAAAGATTTTAAGATTTTACTGGTAAAAATTATTTCTATTGTAGATTTTTAAAGATGCTTCAGTAAGTGATAGGAAATTCCCTTTCATCTCTGAGGAGGTTTTTTTTTTTTTTTCCGTTATAAACAGTGATGAATTTTACCAGAAACCTTGAATGTGTTGATATGATCATTTTGCTATTTCTTCTTTCATGTTTGAAGTGATTGATTTTTGAATAGATAATCAACCATGCATTTCTAAAAAAAAAACATA